GAGTGGAGGGCAAATCTGGTGATCCCACCTTCGCCCCCCCCTGCAGCCCCCCTGCCAGGCTTACAAAGTCTGGCTGCAGGGATGGGCTATGGTGTTTTGGGTCCAGGGGAAACTCTCGAAGCTCCAAAAGACAGAGAGCCGACGAAGGTAAGCTCGTCAAGCTCAGGAGGAAAAGAAAAAAGAAGGAGGAAGGAGAAAAAGAAGGGCAAGAAAAAGAAGAAAAACAAAGGCCGTCAACGGGTGAAGGTGATGCTATCCAAAGCCAAGTGGGACTGGCGAGGCACAAGCTTGGATCCTGCTTTCAGGGCTCCCACTATTCCACGGAGGCAGCAGGACCGGAGCTCAAATTCCAGCGGGTCCTCGTCCAGCAACGCCGAGTCCGTTCCAGAAGCGGACACGGGGTTGTTCGACGAACCCGCCAGGGTACGGAAGATTGCAAAAAGGTGTCCTGGCCTTCTGGCTCGTCAATCAATGGTCGAAGCAAACCGTACCTTGGTCATGGGTGTGGGAGAGAAATCCTCTCTGAAATCAGTAGCGCCGGTTTTTCTCCGGTATTACCGGCAGGTGCTGTCCAACCAGCTGACTTCGCGACCCATGAGTCGGGAGGCGTTGACGTTGGCATCGATCGCAGACGCTTTGGTAGAGGGCGAAGTCCTGCACGCGTTGGACATCGCTGTGCAAAGGACAAAGAGCTTGGAGCTGATGTCGCGCGGCACGCCTGCGGAAACAGCCATACGGTTGGAAGTAGTATTGCCCGAAAGGTCTTCCTTAGTGTCGATGGAGGAGCCCCGCCAAATTCTTGCAGAGGCACGTCGAGAGCAAAACGCGCGCCCTTGGGGCGAGAGAGTTTGGTGGAAAGGGGACGCCAAGGGTTCAGGAAAGGAAAGCATGCCAAAAGGCAACCTGAAAGGAGATGGGAAGAAAGGAGAGGGAAAGAAAGGGGGCCCGAAGGGTCCCAAAGGAGATGCCCGCAGCACCGAGGTGGTTCGTCCTTCCTAGGACACCATGCAGTCCTGGATGCATTGACTTCAAAATCTAAGGCGATTTCAATTGCCTTTCCATCGGAGGCGATTTCAACTGCCTCTCCAACCTGCCGTTGATTCTAGACGCGACGCGTAAGACGTCCCTGGGTGAAGCGCGATCAGGGGGTAAGTCATCATTTTGCAGCAATTCAGGCGCTCCAGGCATGATAGACCCGCTTTTGAATACTTCTGAAATGAAGTCTCGGGCACCAAGTAGTTCCCACCAGGAGCAGCTTGAATCCACTCACAGG